GATATATTGTGACTTGCACACCTGATAACCTGCATAAGGGCTTTTCTCCAGCTAGCTCTTTGCAGGTAGCAGAGCACGGCTGTGTGAAGGGCACTCTGCAGTGCTCGAGTGCCTTTTCTCTTCCCCTCTTGCCCCACGGCTATCATGCTTCAGCCCAGTTCCCTCTGTCCCTGCTGTGTGGGTCGAGGGCTGTCAGGAAGAAAGGGGATGTGGGAATCCAGCTTCCTGGTGTCCTTTTCAATTCTCCTTTTCTTCAGCTTCCCCTACTCCTGCTCCCTGAAAGCACCCAGAGGGGCACTGGGGAGCAGCCACCAGGTATAAGAGAAAGGGTGTGGGCACTGAGCAGTGTTGCTCAGTGCCCTGGCTAGGTTATCCCTCGTCCTTCAGGGACGTTTCATGACACCTCACATAGATAGCAAATACAGTCGGAGCCACATGGGTACAGCGTGACTGTTCACCCTGAAGCGCTCGGGTCAGGCCATGCCAAGTCTCGTTCTGGCTGCCATGTACTTGGCATAACTACGCCAAGAGTGAAAGGGAGCATGTTTTCTCCCCATCCTTTGCCTTGAGGCACCTCCTCTTAAATTAGAAGGGTTTTTTGAAGCTCTGTAGGAAATTAACATTGAATTTATAGCTGATCTTATTTAAGGAGTTAGACAGAAAATGTATGTGAATCATGCATCATCTGCATAATGTGTAACAATAATACACTTAGCTTTTGTTTTAACAGATTCCATCAAAGGTTATCAGGATTCACCATATCCAGAAATTGATTCTTTTGTTCGTTCTTTGGTTAATAAAGATGGGGTGCAAGGAGGTACAGAAAAATCACTTTGTTAATTACAAATAAGTATTCTATAGCAGTCTTTTTTAAACAAGTAAACTTTTTTTTTTTTACAGGGATACGGCAATGGAATTATTTCTCTCTGGAAGAAATAATTGTATATGATATTTCTGGTTACCGTTGGTGTGAAAATATTGGGAGAGCTCACAAAAGTAACAATATAATGTATGTTCTTTAACTATTCAGTATTCACTTCAAAACAGCTTTATTTAGTATTTTTCTGCTCCACTGTTACTCTGTAAAAATGCTGTAAAGCTCTTATGGACAGAATTAACACCTGTTAAAATTTCTGCTCTCCTGTTCCTTGGAGGTACAGCTCATTTAAAAATATATATATATATCCCTTAACTTTTTTCCTAAACTTACTTACTTTGTGACAACTGAGCTTGTATTTCTAATTTTTCTATGAATTTATCTTCATGCCATTTAAAGTATGTGGCTAGAGATGTTAACATACAAGTTTAAAGTATGTTAAAGCTATTAAATGATACTGTGCTTTGATGCTTCTCAGCTAGGGCGCTGAACAATAAGAAAACAGACTGTTCCAAAATTCATATTCAGTGTATCTTAAATCACATTCTTACATTATTAAAATAATAAAAGTGACTTCTGCCAGGATTTCAGCCTAGTTTTGCCAGTGACTCTGTGAGGACTTTCACTTTTCCTCCTAGTTTTAGCAACACTAAGTGTAATCTAAAGAGCTTGACTTTTCAACATCAGAAATGCCTATAGATTGTTAGTAGACATATTTGCCACTTAAAAAACTATATCATTTTTCATAAGCAACATTAGGAAAGATAAGGACTGTCTTTTTGAGACAGTTCGGTAGAAAAAAGCCCCACAACCACTCAATTAGATGAACTCTTGAAGTTACTTGAAGTTTGGTGTTTCTGTAACACGATAGACAACTCAGTTCTATCAGTTGCAAAGAAATAATGATTTTTTTTTTATATCTAGCTTTTATAATGAAATTATCTTTAGTAACAACAGCAAAATGTCACCCTACAGTTAGGTCATGTATGCTAATCTTGTTTTAGTGACTTGTAAGGAAGATGACTAAATGTCACTTGATCTTGTAAGAAATGTATTTTTAATTTAAGCCTCACGTTTATTGGAAAAATAAATAACAAGACTATGTTCAAAGCAAGCAGAGTATGAAAACAATATCCATTGCTGAACAAAACACGTTCATTGAGTGTTGGAATTTAATTTCGTATATATTCACTTTAGCTATGTACTGTTACTAAATACCATATTATTTTTAGGATTCTAGTAGATCTGAAGAAGGAAGTCTGGTATCAAAAGTGTCACGATCCAGTCTGCAGAGAGAAAAACTTCAAATCACAGAGTATGTATGTTTTCAAAGCAATTAACACTCCAAAATGTATTAATTACAACCTTATTAAATACCATGTATTTGATTTAGGTTTTCCATTGCCACCTAGGATATGTCTCCCTTTTCTTTTCAAAGAGGTATGTGTTTTTCGTCCTTGTTTTGTTAACATGCTAAAGGTCTTATGAGCAAAGCTTTGTCTCTAGAAGGCTTTGAAAATCCCTGCTAACCCCAGTTGTCTGTTGGACTCCACTGCACAGCTATGTTGGTATAAAATTGCTCCAAAGAGCAACTGCGCTGATGTAGTAGCTCTATATATTAATTAATTTTTACATTCCTCTGCAGCAGATGTAGCACAAAAACTGACAGCATAGATTCAGGTAGGCCCAACTAGGCTAAGCTGGTTAGGTTACTGGAATAACCTAACTTCATCTGATGCCAAAGATTTTTCTTCTGCCTTTTCTTCTGGAACAGTTCCCAATAGGTAAGCCCCCAAGCCCAGTATAAGTGTGCCATGGAAAAGCTGCCCAAGTTAAGCTTACTATGCTTATTACTAAGCTTACTATGTTTCACTTCATATGAGACCAGTTAAAGAATCTTTAAGTAAGTGCTCCTGGAATAGTTGAGTGGGTTTAAAAAAAAAATCATGATTGTTAGGTTTGGCTGCAAAGCTAGCAGCTTTAGGAACAAGAAATCATAAATATGAGGCAGGGCAAAAAGCAATACTCCATGAGAACGTGCATAGTAGTACCAGTGTTCTCAGAAACCTGGCAACAAAATTTCTGAGCAGGCAGAATGGTTCTAACACAAGATTTCAGTTTTCGGTGCTGCTTCTATACGAAATGCTTTTCTTTCATAGGTGATAGCAAAATAAGTACACCAAATCTTTTGGTAACTTAAATATGTATGTGTGTGAATGTCTCTTAAGGATTTAAAGTGATTTTTTTTTGTTTGTTTGTTTTTTCAGTGGTTGATATACTGAAACACAGCTGATTAATACTTCAGTATGTTAAGTCAGTGACCCTCAAACATGACATTCCCTTAACTGAGTTATGTTTACCCACAAAGGCAGAACATTTACACTGACCTGATGTCATCCCTAGATCCTAAGCCCGAACACACTAGTCCTTCCCACAGAGTAGGTCATAAAAGCTTAGTTACAATGGTAACAGCTCTTAAGATTCACCCTGCAAAATGGTACTCAAGTTCTACTTAAGCAAATTTAAATGCATTTTTCAGACTTTGATAGTATCCTTAAATAGACACTAAAGTTAGACTAGTTTTAGTGTTTACGAAAAAACCCAGCAGATTTCTATTCCTATTAAAAGGGGCTTCCATAGTGTCCTGTGGCTGTAAATTAACCTGCTAGAAAATGTCTTGTTGCCTTACTTGGCACATATAATGGATACTATAGTATCCATTATATGTGACATTTGCAAAAGTCCAGCAGTAGTTTCAAATTCTCAAATCCGAGAAGTTAAAAGGATGAAGACCATCTGCATATGGAGTAAATAGTATTTTTGTTTCTAAAAGGAAGAAGAACATATGCTAATGGATGAAAGTGAGAACACAGAAGAAAAAGTAGAACTGCATTGTAACGGCACAGATTTGTCAAAAAGCTCACTACTTCAAGAAAACGGCTTGTCTAGAGACTTCCTGTTGTCAGACGCCATGTGGGACAATGCAAGTGATGATGTCTGGTTCCTGGAAGCTACTGATGATGTGGAACTAGCTGAAGCTGCAAACGACGGTGTGAATGATGACACAGAAGAAACGCCTGATGAAGTTCTTTTGGAAGCTTTAAGGAGACAGGGCACTTGTGCTGAAGAACAAAGCTAACCACAGAGACAGCTAATGTACAAACCCATACCAGTGATGCTCACTTTAGTGCAGTGTGCCTTCCATGAAAGATACTGCAATATAGTTCAAAAACTCTCTTCCTGATCTGTACAACAGAACTGAATAACCGCTGTAAATAACAGAGCCTTGCAACTGGAATATCTTAAACAGGGCTGAAAACATCAGGGAAGATTACACCAGAGCTGAGCACTACTGGACTGAAAACTCTTCATTAATACTACTCCAAGTAGTCTAGCACTTTAATAGTTACTGCTGAGTGGCTTCCTATTTTGTTAGCTGTATGTCTAAATTTTATTGATGAGCTGTGTAAAATAGATTTGCTCAGTTCCAGAAGTGGGAAGACTTTATTTCATATACAAATTTAATAAAAAGGCTTGTCTATCGCTAGCTCAACCAAAGTCAGTGTGTTCTCTTTTAAAGTATACATTGGTTTCAAAATTACATTACTTACATAGCCCAAGGAGATGAAAAACCGACATTCTTAAAACAGAGCACAGGAAAGCTTTGTGATATTAACTGGAGTTAGTATCTTATTAATTTTTACTGACACTCTTTGAATAAGTTCTTAACAGTAGAAAGATAGTTTCTGATTAAGTTGCATTTCTCGTATGCATTGAAGCAAAGTACAGCAGTAATGGTTAGACATACTTTAATCACTGTCCATTCTAATAACTGTTCCTAATTAATTTCAGAAAGTCCATTAAAAAGCACTTAATGTTTCTTTGGTAACTTTGCTCTTTGTACGTTCAGTGCCTCTTGCAATCTTGTATTAATGTTCTTGAAGTGCCTTTCCATTGCTACAATTCTCCGTGATTCCACCAGAAGAGCAGGAAGGCTGGACATTCCATACTGTTGTAAGGAAATAAAGTTACAAGACAAAGTTTTTAACTATTGGAAAATAAACATTTCTATATCTGCTTTTATTTTTCTGCTATCTGAAATGATGCACTGTGACTTTTAAAAGTGAAAAAAAGTCAAGTTTAGTAGAGAGTCTCCTGAAGTGGAAGAATTTTCATTAGGCAAGGCAGGCATGTCAACAGAAAGTATCACACCATGTCATGAGTACAGCCACCGTAAAAGGGGAAGAAGTTCCAGATCTATATAAGAAATTAATCTAATGATAAAATGTAACTATTGGTCTTGCTGAGCATTAAACACATTGCAGAACAAATATGCAAGTACCAGAGCTGTCCCTGCCTTTGAACACCAATAAAGTGACTTGTTTCTTACAGCTAATCTTCAATTTCTGTAAAAAGTGTCATACTTGAGGATGATGGTTATGTTCCTATGTCCTTTCAATTCCTGGACATAGACATAAAGGTTTCAGAAATCTCTCTGAAATAATTTGGTTTCTAACATGAGCCAAAAGTGAATGAGTCACTGCCATACACCTAGCACAGTGATTCTCAAATTGCTTCCACACAAATATATTAAATAAATAGTGATATTTCGTTAACTATTAACAGAAGTGCGTGTCAATCCATTAAAAAAAAGGGGGTGGGGGGAGGAGGAGGGTTTGATCCAGAACAGTTTGGAAACACATGCAGAATTTTTACTTACTACCACTTTTTCTGTAGGGTTTTCTTCTCTGTAATCCAAACAGTCTTGCTGTAGCTCTTTTAAATCAGTAAGGAATTGAGCTGCATGCCTCAGGGAAGATTTCCTCTCCTGTAACTGAGCATATTCTCTTTGCAGCTGTTTCAGTTGTGGTTCAGTTCTGAAAAGATCAATGCTTTGATGACCATATTTGAGCATTTACTTCATGAATTACTGTGAACATACTTCCTCTGAAGAAGACTTAAGAGGGTGGTCAGAAATGTTAAGCATACGTTAGTAAGACAAACTGGTTTTCCCACATCTCACTGAGTCTAACAGTATCTCCAGTCACTCAGGATTTTGCCTGTGAAGTTCTTCTTAAATACCTGATAATCTGCTTCTGCATATGTTTGTTTGTAAGCTGAGCTGTTCAGTACTTATCGTAACGCATATTCAGAATCTCTAAACTAGATACTCCTCTGCCTAAATAAGCTGAAGCGCTCAATCCATCAGGTTGTGTTCAGACCATGATTAGCATAGCACAAAACTGTACAGCAACAGCTATTTTCACTTAATAGTGTGGCCACAGAAAAGCTTTCTTAAAAGAATGATCAAATAGTTAAAGCACAACATATGAGAAAAGTGAAGACAGCTTGCAGCATGAGGTGGTTCAAATCCATACTCCTGAGGGATACCTTTAATTACTCCTTCTAGTGAAGTTGGTCCATAGTACTGCAAAGACATCAAGATTCACATGGCAAAAGAGAAAGAACTTCACATGCCTTCAAGGATCCAAATCCATGCTTCCCTACAGAGTTAGTATGTATGCGATACGCAGCTTCAATACAAAGCTTGTCACTAGAACCGAACTGGATTTGGGGACGAAAAAACTTCTTCACTGTGAGGGTGACAGAGCATTGGAACAGGTTGCCCAGAGAGGTAGTGGAGTCTCCTTCGCTGGAGATATTCAAAAGCCGTCTGGATGTGATCCTGGGCAATATGCTCTAGGTGACCCTGCTTGAGCAGGGAGGTTGGACTAGATGATCTCCAGAGGCCCCTTCCAACCTAAACGATTATGTGATTCTGTGACTAGTTCTTCCAAGGAACATTTTTTTCTAAGTTTCTGTGTTTTGTATCTTAACGATACTTAAGATTAGTGCCAAGTTCAAGAAGGGGAATCATATGGCTTAGTGAGATACCATGTATCCAAAGGTATCCCTGCCATACTGCAAAGAAGTGAAAGACGTTCTCCCACCCACAAGAACAAAACTCACCCCAGTACCGTTGTAACTTCTGACTCATCACTTTGGCAATTTCAATTAATGTCATTAGTGTTTTTCTTACGAACATAATCATCTAAAATACAAACCCAATAGTGAAGGTAAAATACAAACCCAAGATAAGCGAATAGAGCTTGTGAAAATGACTATACCTAAGCAACTGAACAATTGAAAGGAAAGGTTATTCTGAGCTACTGATAATACAGAAAGTGATACAGAGAAACAGGACTACAGAGTTTCAAAGTAAAATAAGAGAACAAAAGTTATTGAGTTTTAAAATACCAGACTCCTCGAGTTCTTCAGGCTATTATCACACATTTTTAGAAACATACCCCATTAACTCTTCTCTGACTTGCAACAGTCGCTGCCTTTTCTTTTTGATGTCCGTTATCACCTGTAACAATTAGCGAGAAAAGTGTTTGAAAACTTTCTAGAACTTCAAAAGCAAACAAACGTCATTGGCTTTTTTTTCTTTTGGGTTTTATGCTTCTGATTCTACGTATGGAAGATTCCAAGATACCAGGCTTTATAAACTACTGTATTTAAAACAGCTAAAATAATAATTTCAAAGAGCTTTACAGTGTCAAAACTCTTATCTCCATCCACAGCTCTCTCAAGGACCACTGGCTTTACAAGTATACAAAAGGAGTTTGTGGCTTTTTGAGTGCAAACATGCTAACTCCAGCAGGTTTTCTGGGTTTTTTTAAGAATGCATACTAATATGAATGTATGTTCAATAGGATTCCATAACTAAGGAACTAAGTAAAGCTAAGTCTTCTTTGATACGATATCCAATTTTTTTTAACATCTTGCTATAAATTTAAATTTAGCAACTGTAAATCTGAGTTGCTAGTGTAAAACAAATGTGTAAGAGGGGCAAAACAAGGATAACTCTCGGTTAATGCTAAATGCATATTAAAATGAGAATGCTAAATGCATATTAAAATTTTCATTTTAATGAAAAAAAAAAACTCTTTCATTCTAAGGGTAACTTACCTTACTACCTCAAATTAACAAGACTTTTAGGACTTTACCTTTGGCCTATCAAATGCTACCTCCCAGAGTAAGCTCTCAGTTGACTTCACTTGTTTACTGAAGAGAGAGTGTGCTGTATGTGGTTACTGAATAGGTTAAAATTGCGTAATAATCTAAAAAAAAACCGTACATTCAAGAAATAAAGTAGAAACTTCAATCTTATATGTTTGGTCCAATTGTTCTTTCATGCTTCTAATTACAACAGAGTCTGAAGGCTCTTCACAGACTTACATTTGGAAAGGGACCTCTGGAGATCATCTGTTCCAACACCAGGCTGCCCAGGACCATGTCCAGTTGAATTTGAGTATCTCCAAGGATGGAGACTCCACAGCCTCTCTGGGCACTTCAGGAAGATCTCTGGCCAACTCCCTCAAGACAGACCAAGCATACCTAAACCATATTTCCAGCAGAAACACCTAACCTGCTCTTAAGCATCTGCACTGAGGGACATTCACCACTTTTCTGATTAAGCCCCTGCAGTGCTTTTCTGCTCTTGCACTAGTTCCTCCTACTGCCTAGATCTCCCTTGTTGCATTTTAAGTCAATTAATACTTGCTCCGAATGAGCTGCAACTCTTTATCGCCTTCCTCTATGTAAAAATATTTCATATATTTAAGCAATTTATTTCCTTTAGCCTTCTTCTTTCAACTAAACAATCCAGTTCTTTCCTCACAGGTTGTAAGTTCTAGACTTCCAACCACCTTTGCTGCTCTTTTCTGGACTTTCCTATGTTCGTTTATGTTTCTTGAAAGTTAGCTCCCAATAGTAATTGACTCTCCAGAGGCCTCACCAGCGCTTACTGAAAGAGGAGTCGTTCGTGTGCCTACACGTCCTGATGTGTTTTCTTTTTATATCAGTATAACAGTGATTTATACATAGTTTGTGGTCTATCATATTCCCTCAGAATCTTTGCAAAAAACTCTGGTGGTGCTCTGCCCTTTACTCGTGCAACTTATCGCTTAGCACAGTGCACTGGTCTGATGAATTGTTTTATTAGTTACCTTAAAGTTTTAACAACTCACCTCTGTATGCTGTACATTCACTCTAGTGATAGCACATCTTTCAAATATGTATTTACCTTAGCATTTTTTCTCTTCGTATTCTTTAATTCCTGGACTTCTGTTATCTATAGAGAAAAAGAAACATCACAGATGGACTGCAGACGCCCATTTCTCTATCCTCCTAAAAACCTGGCTGCAAGAATTACTTTGGAATAATACGAAAAGCCACCTAAAAAACTCTGGTTCAATCACAAGCTTATCAATTGTGTATCAATTCTTTCCCCTCTCTCCATGCCAGAGGAAGTCTGTTAACAAAATGAGTCACCTTGCACCAGCTAGTGCAAGTAATACTCTCTAGCTTATCTCTTCCTTAACTTTACATATAATGTATAAAACTAGTCATTCTAAAACTTGTTTTAATAAATCATTTAAAACAGAACTACAGTTTTAGAATCTACCTATTTTACTTATGGCAGCTCCTACAGAGTTGAATTCCTACAAAATTTCTTTAACTTATTGTGATGAGCTGAGAAGAATTCTTTGTCTTCCCAGCTGGGCCTTTTACATTTAGGTCTGAACTGTTATCTAGGACAGATTATTCTCCATGACCCATATGCTAGAGGCCTCTTGAAAGAGTCCTGCAGTCAGGCTACTACACACAAGAGTGGCTGAGATGTAATACAGGGTGAATACTCAACCTCTGAAAAATCCAACCCATGAGCTTTTAAAGCAATGCTTTACATAGCTGTTCACTTATTCACATTACGCAAATCTCCAATTTTACTGCACAGTGCTTTCAATATGACAAACACTTCAAGATTATTGGATAGTTCCCTGTTCTCAAACACTGAAAACTTTGCAACGTACTTGCATGATAGCACTGTTTTGTCTAAATGCAATTCTCATGAAAGTCAGCACAGAGGCAGCAAGTCATTATCCACACACAACTAATTGTGCTTTTTAACTGTTTAACCTGACAAGTGATACAAATTTTGAAGTATTCTAAAATGCACATGCATGTAAAGGACAATAAAAAAGCATAGGCATTCAACTACAATGTAATATGCAGCCCTATAATCACTGCCACAAAATTGTTCTTATTAACTGTGTACTTACAAGATCAGTGATTTGGTCCTTGAAACCGGAACAGAAGCCATCGATAGCTTTTCTGCAAATCTTAGAGTCTACTCTTTGTCTGGAGAAGTTAAGAGGGATAAAACAAACCCATGTGGTTTAGTAAAGGAGAAATCTTCTGAAAACATTCCTTTGAGTAACAATATCAATAAAATCCAATGTTAAGTCTTCAGCAGAGCAGGCAACTGCAGCTCTTTTAAGTACTAGCAATAACCTAATTTCTCTACTGGGAAATATCAGTTGAGATATGTTGTTCTCACATTTAGAAAAACATCAAATCCTCGGAGACCAGCTCCCTAAGATCACATGTTAAAAAGCATTCGCATCACAGAAATCTGACTATCATTAAAATAACAACAGACTATCACTACTCAATATGTCACTTCCTAAATGACAAGCCACTAGCAAAAAGGCATTTATTTTGTTTCAAAAACTGAATACTCAGCCACAAGCAAACAGAATATTTACTTGTAATCTGCTGCTATCTTCTCAAATTCAGCAAGAACAACATCCAGTTCTGTAATATCTTTAGGAAATCTCTTCAGCCCTTTGGGACACCAAACCTGTACAGAACCTGGGCTATCATCAACTATAATAACAGAATAAACAAACACATTACACAATGCAGGTACATGTTCTAAACTAATAGAAAAATTATGTGCCCATTATTAAAATAACTTTTTAAAACTTTTCATCATGTACAATTTATTTCTCAATTTTTCACCACTTCAGTAAGAAAGTCTAGGAGTATTTCACTACACTAACTGATAAAGAACATAGTATACTTCAGATTTTAGCTGTTTGCCCTGTAAAGGCTATCAGCCTGAGTTTGGGCAACCTGCTTTACTCAAAGGAATCATGAGTAGTAGGAATCACGAGTAGTATACTACACCTGTACAAATTTCACATTAATACCATATACGCTTCAAAAAAGCTACATAGCAAATGTTTCTTTAAATTTTGCAATAAAATTAATTAATTTCACAAAAAGTTAAAACATATTTCTTCACACATGCCCAGAGGGAAAGCTGGGTACTTGAATGTAACAGGGCAAAATCCAAACAAAGCAAGAGGACATCTGAAAAAGAGTTTCTCCTTCTCCCAAAAGGCCACAGCTGAAGCTCTGTATCTCAGAGGTCTTTAGTGTTAGCTGCTGCATCTACTTAGTAAGGCAGATGCACACCTTGGAGTGTCCTGGGGGCTCCAGTCACCCAGGCTAAGGGACATACTGGAGTATATTACTGCTCTGTACCCATGAACCCAAATTTCCTTTCAGAGGAGGCCAGGCTGTATGTAAGAGAGAACACATGCCTTGGCCTTACCCCACCAGGGGGGCAACAGGCAAGGCCAGGGATGCAAACCACAGGCATCAGAACTCTACGGCACACTAGCCCCTCAATTAACCACCACTAACAGGTGTCAAAACCCAAAATAGTACTGAAACCTCCCATTTCTAGAAGCAGTATGCTGCTGCCTACCAGAAACTGAAACCACTGACTTCTGCAAAAGTATTCATCATTAATGACCAAAAGCTACACAGAAGTTATGAAAAGTCCAATTTACCACAAGGAACTAACGCACTCTTCTCTGAAGGCCGCTTCTTCCTTTTCTCTAGGAGTTCAGTAGTATTCTGAGCCTTCTGTGACATAAAATGCAGGTTAACTTTAAAAAATAAGAATTAGTTTCACTCATCTAAAATTTTGAAAGACAGCAGTTAGGTAGAAGTAGGAACAACACGAACAAAATTTTAGTAACGTTTGCTTAGACCTATTTCAACAGAATCGCAGCACAGTGATTACATCGCCAAGGGGCAGCAGCTGCCTGGCTGCACTGACCAACTGACATGTCAGCATTGATCACACAGGAGGAGGAACACCTTAAGGAGCATAATGCCTCTCAATTCAGCCTTCCTTTTACCTTGCTCTGGCTAAAAAGCCACTCCTCTCTTCTCTTCCTCTCGTGCACACTACCGATTAAGGAACAATCAGATCCTGGAAGTATTTCTGTTATTGGAGAAATCTGTACTTGGAACAACTTTCACCTTTTGGACGTTCATCTTTTTCTTTTCACCCAGTTCACTGTTTGCTGAAGCACCATTCCTTGATGTCAACGCGGATGGTAGCTTCGGTTTCATTACAGTGGTCTTGGACAGTCTCGATACCTAAGCGGAGAACAATTCCAAGCTAACATTAACATTTTTAAACAATTCTCAGCAGGAAACATTTTGTCTAATATGAGGATAAAAAGGTGTGATCACCCCCAGCATTAAGAGTTCTCTGATTAACAGCTCCTCCTTACCTTCTTCTTCACCTACACCTGTCCTGATTCTTTCTCTACTTTGAGTACTTTCCAAGACACCAGCAGTAACTCTACAATAGTGCTGCATACCTGCAGTTTACTGATGAAAGACTAACACTGTGTATTGAATTTTATGACATGAATTTCAACAATTTCAAAGAACTTCAACATATCAAAAAGAGGCTTTTATGCAAACTGCTGCCTAGGTTCTTATATCACGGGCCTACTTTCTGAAGTTTGCAGATCAGTGCTCTTTCTCTGTACGTCTGCAAGCTAAGCAGGCCGAAAACATTTTACAGTACTTACAGTCTTAAGCGTGGTAAAAACACTCAGATGAAAAAACACCAGTTTTGAATAACTCCAACATATATTCAAAATTAATCGTATCAATTAAAAATTCAATCATCTCATAAATATGTTCTAACTTCAATACTGAACAAGTACTAGGAATTTATACTCCGTTTAGTGTTTCATTCTTTAAGAACATACATTCCAGATATAAATATACTTATTTGAAAGAAAAAAAGAACACATTCCACTATAAGCAAGCGAATGGACTGCAGGACCCAGAACAGCTGGTTATTATATTCCCTGCTGGCATGCCAGCCTAGCTTTAAGCGTTTTACTCAATACTTAGCCATCTCACAGGAATACTTTGAGGAGTAGTTATTCAGGATACAATCAAGACTAAGTACTAAGGAAATGCTAAGAAATAAATAAAAGGTCTTCCGCTCTCCCCCACATCTAATGCAAGGGAGGCATGAACTAAGTTAAAACTAAATTGACTGATACGCTCACGCGACTTTTTTCAATACCATATTCTCCTTAAGGGGTTCATCTTCAGAATCACCTGTCTTGAATTTGTAAATATCATCTTCAGACATTTTCAAGTGATGCGTTCTTTTACTAGAGAAAAAAATTGACATGTAAACCTATTACACACCTAGAAAGAATGGTCTTCAACCATATAAACAACAAAATCCTAGGTTCTAGGGAAGACTAGCGTACTGCTGTGTCAGAGTCAGTTTGTGGCTCCTAAATCAACCACATAAAAAGCTGCAAAGGGCATATAAAGGGAATAGAATCTTTATCCCTCACCAGCAACCCTTTGAACAATTTAGAAAGCCAGTACTAACTGAGCACTAAGACAGCCATGTTGTTTAGAGTTGAAACTTAGAAACAGGGTCAAAATTACTATATAGGGGACTTTAGGAGGAACGCAGAAAGCTTCCTTGGGGTGTGTAGCAGGGGAGAAACATCTTCATACAAGCATTATTGTTGTCTTGTTACTTCATTCAGGTAAAAATTACTTCAGATTTAAGCCAGTCTGTTTTAATACATACAAAGCATTAAAAACCTTGAATTAAAAGGCAATTTTTTAAACCAATTAAACTATATCTAACAAAGTAAATTAGTTTATCTATTTTTCAATATTTTCTACTTTTAAACCTTAAAGACACCAGCATTCAGAGGACTAAGTAATACCTCATAAAGGTTTTTTTAAATCCTTTCACTAGATCCAATGCAATCCTTTCATTCAGAAATGCACAGCAACTATTTAAATGTGAAAGTTAATATATCGCTTACATCAGACAGGCCCTAAATTATTTTCACATCTTTTTTCATTCCCCAATCCCGCTTTCACTTTTGGCTTGTCACGTGGGAGGTTTTATGTTAACAAATATCTGTTTAACAAGCAGTTAGTGAAACCTGACAAACAGAACGTTTTCCCCGTTTAACCTGAAAAATCAAAAAATTAAATTAAAGGGTGGCAATTGTTTTTTTCACTAAACCTTTTTTCTGTGTTTTTCCTCTGTAGACCTGACAAATCACTAAGTGACTCATTCTCTGAATGTTCTTCTCCATAAGCATCCACAGCAGTACTGTGCAAAGGGTGATCTATAAAGGGAAGAAAATAAGTAGTATGAAAGTTGTTCCCACCTGTTCAGGCAAAGAGTATGGATATAATAGCACTGCCTGCCATTCAACATTTCCTTAAAATTTGTGTGGTTTGCTCGCTCTTACAAATGAAGTCGTGTTAAAAGTATTATTTGAAGAGTAGGAAAAAAAGTCATTTTATAAAACACACAGTAAAAAGCTTCACGGTTTACATGTTTATCTACCTGCTATTCCTTTACAAACACAGGGCAGAGGCGCATGAAAACTCAGCATGCACATATGCCATATAGCAAGCAAAGTATTTTGTGCAGTTGGTTTAAAGTCTCTCTCTTTGCTATAACATGTATCAATCTCCTGTATAGTCATACTCTAAATTCTAACTTTTCTCTCTTTCAATAATTTTTAAAATCTCTAAGTAAATCTCTAAGATGACAGTCAACAGATGCTATAGAAAGCTTGTAAAAGTCGAGTTCTTGCAGATAACCACCATGATAGCTTAAAACTCCAAGAACCTTTGTTTGCCTTCCATAGCAGGCTGCTCTTTTTCTCATGTACACAGCCAAGAAAAGTTAGTGTTAGTTTACATGAGCATCATCCTTTTTCTAGTTGTTAATCCATACCATAGAAGTGAGAAAAAGAAGAGCTTTCCATTTTGCAGCTTTTCCTCATGCCACCCCCCTTTGCTATGTCTTACTTTACAGTTTGTTTTTTAATGCTTTCTCTAGTATTTGCATATGTATTTCTATGATTTTCTTACAAAGAGTAATAAATATCACAGCTGAGAAGTAGCTCTTAGCATTTTCTCGACAATTTCTAATTACGCGGCTCTTCAAAGATTTCTTATTGCCACTGAAATACAAGATATACAAATACAGACAACACATACACAGAGGGTCCCACTCCACCTAAATTAAGGGATTCGCCAGCACACAGATGCCTCATTGCATGAGTCCAATATGAAGTATGGAAGTGGTTTTAATACTTCATCAGAACTAGTATGTTCCTGTGATTTAAAACTTTCTTTGTAAGTGACATTTGAAAGTGGCAGGCCCACCAAAAAATGAACATTTCAGTTTGCTATCATATATATTCTTAGAATAGCAAAAGTTTCACTTCGCAATTTGCAGCATCTAACAAAGATTAACTGAAGAAATGGAACCTTCTCCTTAAATGCAAATTCTAACAGGCTTGCAATGTCACATTACGTAAAATTTTGGAGCTCAGACTATACAATTTGAATAGCCAGTATTTTTCATCAATTTTTTTCTCAGCACTTATTACTGCATTATTCTGGTTACTTCCTAAATAAGAAAATATAAAAACCCCACACAAAATATTTGCTGTCTCTCCTCCCCGTAATTTCCTTGGCAAAGAAACAATACCTTTTCCTAGGTAAACGTTGAGATATTTTGCACATATGGTTAGTTCAGGAAAATCATACATTACGTGATATTTATGTTAATACTAACCAAACGAATCATCAGGCTCCCCAAGTTCCTCGGTTTCTGCTACCTTCAATATCCTTGAAATATCTGGTTCCTCAGGTGGAAGTAATTTCCTTCGAGAATGGGATCCAACTTTGTAGTCCTGAGTGGGTATTAAATCAATATCCAGCTTTTTGAGTGCAAGATACATTAAATATGACAACACGTTTCAAGACCTTTTGACTAGAAATACACTTAACTTGGACCACGTTGACTACTGAGCTGCAACATAAAGTATTTGAGGCATACTTACACATTTTTGCTTCAAGCTACATTTTTTCTGTAAGAGAAGTGATCGGATAAAACTGGTATAGCCTGCTGTCTTGTATTACGCTGTAGCATGAGCTTTACCTTATTTTAAAAACTCAGATGTATAAGCCTAAAAATCTTATAGCACTCCAGTAACTAGTTTCTGTGATCTGTGGCCTATTTCTTTTCAGACATTAAGCAATGTTTTCTTTCATCCATATACATGCATAAGTTTCCACCTTTGTCTAAGTTAGTCAGGTAGCAGCACCTCAAGAGTTTTGTTATGGCACTGAAGATAGACGCATCACATATTTGCTCTTTGAGCTGCTCTCTTTACTTTTACACAACTATTTCCAAATTTTTGCTGGTTTGAAAACCAAGGACACATTTTGCCTGACGATGCACTATCTCCAAAAGAAAAAAAAAATACACCCCAGACCTGCAACAATACATATTCCAAAAGAAAGTTCCCAACTTCAGTGTGAGCAAAGCCTTGCATTAACATATGCCTATCAGCCTACAGAATCGATGCCATAAGGGTATGGCACATTTGACTTTGCTGTTCTAATTAAGCTCAAAGCAACAAAACTTACATTGAATTTACTTCTGGAATTTCTCTTCGTTTTTTTCTTTGAGGACATTTCGCTATTACACGTATATCGTTCAATATACAACTGAAGATAAAAAGTTACTAAAAAAGAGCGCCCAGAACAACCCCACTTCCTTTGTTTTGATACCTGCCGGGGGAAGAGGAGGACATGTGTGTTAATTCAACGCATTCAGTGCACCTTCTCGTTCGAGTAGCCAAACTGATTACATACGGTCAGCCTGACGCTTGGAACAGCGTGCAGAAGCCAGGAACAAGACGTACTTACTAAAAAGACAAAGCACGCTGCTATTCGCGCTTTTATTTCGTAACGACGGGCGGCCTAGAGCCAGCCCACAGCACAGCC